CATAGTTTTTTTCTTTTCTTTTTATAAGACTAATTGATGTAAAATAGTAAAATGGATTAGAGGAATTACGCGTGACTTAACTTACCAGCTAGTTAATTAATTAGAAGTATCTAAAGTGGCCACTAAATATAATAATATCTAAAAGAGATACAATACTGCATTTCTCTGATTTTCTCTTTAGATATATAAAATATGAAAATCTTTTCATATCCAAATTTCAAAATTCCAATTTCTCTTTCAAATACATCAGAGAATATTGAGCGTTTGTTTAGCAAAATAATGAGTATCAGTATCACTCAGCTTTTTTTGCTATTAATTTAGTTGCTATAATTTTATTCTCTGAAACAAAGATTTAAGTTCTTTTGTATTTTTTGTTGTTTAAATTTTTAAATTATACGAATATATTGCTATCAGATATTTGTTTTGTCATTAAGGATGCCACGTAATAAAGAAGAATTGCGAGGATTATTTTTCAAAGGATTAGCAGTGGAATTTCATGCCCGATATAATATGGCAGCACATACAATTCCACATTTGGATCAGTGGTTTAATAAACAAGAGAATAAACAGGAAGTCAATATAAACTCCATTCTTAAGTAATGCTTTATTTATCATAACTTTTCATAAATAATAATTATGACAATTCATAATGTAAAATAAAATAGTTTTATTTCGAAATTCTAAATGACTAATAAGCTATGATAGATTATACACTGTAAGTTAGCCATAAATTCTATTGATTCAAAGTTATTTAATCGATCAATCATTTCACTGTTCCTTCCTAATATTAGAAAGTTTTCATAACTTATGTTATATAAGAAAATTTATTATTATCAAATTACTTTTTTCTTTCTTCCAGATTCACAAAGTATGGTTGGGAGCCGCAATTTGTTTCCTTGAATACAATACCATTTCATGACGAAAATTTCCCATTCTCATTACGTGATAATACAGTACTTGTAAGTCTATTTTTGTTTTCATTATTTCTTTATATTAAAATGAAAAAGAAAGTAAAGAAAAGAAATTAGAAAAAGTAGTGATTAAATTTTAGTGATTACATATCTCTCTTATCATATTGGAAATGAAGAAAAAGAAGATCAAATAATGTGGAAGGATTCTTTTAATTCATTAGCCTTTAATAAATAATACTTTCCTAATCATTCCTCTAATTCTAATAACATTACCTCTAAATAATAATAATAATAAATTATCAAAGCTAATTATTATCATAAATTAGTCACAATTTTATAAAAATATTAGTTAAAAAGTTATTTTCATTTTCTAAAATTGTTTTGCTAATGAAAATAATCAAATTTAATGTCATTTTCATTAAAATTTTGATATGAATAAAAGTAAATTTGTTCCTTGACTTTGTATTATCTTAGCATTACTTCCCTCCTCCTGACAACTATTTATGAATATAAGATAAATAACGCAGATGAATGATAGATATTTATAACGCTAAAAAATACCTTTAATGCTATAAATTTCCATGCAACTTTTTCATGCAACTTGAAAACTGCAACTATATTTAGCGTAAATATCCGTTGTAGGCAATAAAAGATGAAATTTGAGTATAAAAGTATTTGATAATAGCTAAATGACTTGTTTAATGATAAGTCGTTGACAACTGAATCATCATAAACTTGCATTTTGCTTTGAGATCATTTTTTAAAGTGCATGGAAGGAAACAAAAGATTAAATTACACTTGCATGCATAAGACGCAAAATAAACTGACAATCAATAATTATTCAATAAAATGAAAATTTCTTTTTGCCAACTAACTTTGCAATATATATGATAGTTCAGGATTACTTCATTTGTATTTGATAAGTTTGCGATAGTTCCTTGCAGCGTTGGGAAATGTGCCGTCAAAATTATACGTTTGCATTGGTGAATGATTTATTTATGGTACATCGTGGCATCAAAACTACAAACGATTTACCACTTACCAGGAAACGTCAAAAACATTCTCGACCGCAATTTAATATTGCAATGAAGCTTTTCAAACAACGTATGGATCATCAGTATCCAGAAACTAAGAAGCTTTGTCCAGAATTTGGTGCTTAGTATTGTAATATTCACAATAGTATATATTTCAAATATGTTTTCTAAAATAAAAGCTCAAAGAGGGTTTGCTTGTGAGTTAGTATTGATGTTATCATACTTCAAGTTTTCTAGTAATATTCGTCGCAATTTTTAATATTATTTCCAACAACCTAAAATTAAGTACAAATTAATTTACAAGATTTATAATATTTCATATACTATACAATAACGTCATTGTTTGCATGAATATTTAGCCGATGCAATGTGATCGTCAGTTATTCTGATGATCACATAGCATTGGCTAAATTTATACAGGAATTTCTTAATTATTATGCGAATTAATAAAAATTATAACGTTAATTATATGTTTGTTATAAATTATTCATTTGTTTTTGCTCGAAGCATTGATAAAGGTCTTTCATCGTAATTTTTAATATACTAATATATTCTTAATATATTCTCATTATAGAATATCAAAATTCTAAATAATTTTATGAAAACAAAAATTTTTTTGACCTAATATTATCGCAAAATCTTCAAATTATTAACAAGAAATCATAATTATCAATATCATAATTATCAATAATTATCAATATTTTGAATTTCTCAATTTTTAAGAATTCTCTTTCTATAACATAGATTTCAAGAATATAATGATAATTTGATTATTTAAATACTTTTTTATTTCAAAATGATTTTGGATTTCCGACAATGACAAAGTGGCGTAATATCGATATGAAAGCTTGATGGATTTGCTTGCTCCTTTCACAGTTTTCTAAAAGCCATTTCTTAAGCAACGTTATTGAGTTGGAGACAAGGCAATGTCTAACGTTCCGAACATATTTGCTGTCATAGAATATTTGGGAAAACTGTTTCTGTAATACATAAAGCTGAGATGACATATATGTCTAATTGAGATTGCGCATATGTTCCTGCAATTTATAAATTAAGGAAGAAAAAAGTTCGAAGAATCTACAAGAAATAACAAATTAATTAAAAAGTTGAACACAAAACTTTAAAAAAAGCAGTTGATTTCCTAAGGAGATTATTCTATCCCAATACTTTCATTTTAATCACAGTATTATAAACACATTGTACTGTATTATGAGACCTATGACCTTCATGAATCATAACTTTAATTTAAAATTCAACTGCTTCAACATATCAAAAAATAATTCCAAACAATAGATTCTCACTTTGTTTTTAGCTTTAAAATTGATATTTCGAAAATAGAAAATTTTTAGAAGAAACAATTGATAGCCAATTAGCCATTAAAAATAGCTGAAATGTTTCTATGGGATGACAGATGTTCTTATATTTCTAATAGGTCTAGACAAATTTGAATAGCAAGAAATTCATAAGAGCAACTTAATAAGTTCCATTTTTTCAATATTTTATTTGTATTCAAACTGAAGTTTATAAAAGTTACTCATTTTTCACCTGAACGAAGAGATTTGCGCTTCTCCTTCCATAAATTCAAATCTCTGATCTTTCATTTATCAAGATCACGTGCTCTTCTCAGGTATCAATTGAGGACATGGGATTATATATGTATTTGTGAATTGAAAAAAAACATAAGAAAAATGACATTAAACTCGTCGAAAAATTTTCCTCCACAAACTATCTACCTCCTTCGTCCTACTGACCAAACTTGGACTATTTCAGTAAATTTGTTGTATCTTTACTTCTCAGCAATATCATCTAATGTTCCTTCTCTCATTTTATCATACCAAAAACAATCCTTCCGTGGAGGGAAAGCAAAAGCTCTCTATGGAGGAAAAGTATTTTATTTTAACTATAATTTACTAATGAGATAAGAAGAATTCGAGAATGAAATATAATTTCTAGGATGGAACAAGATTGCAACAGAAAAAATATCAAAGCTATTTGACCTATTGCCAACTGCATGTTTCTTTCCACAAATTCAAAAACGACCTTTGCTATTTAGAGGAAATTGTGAAATGCAGACTGGTTCTTCGAGGATCTTTGCTTACTTATGCTTTGACCCAACTGATCTGTTTCTTACACATATACACAACACTTTACGATCAGGACGGATGAAAATGTCTCCGATGTCGAGTCTGCAGAAACTTCATAAGCAAATTTTTTCAGATTATAAGGTTTGAGAACTGGCGGAGATCGAAGATTATGGACATATTCACGCCGCTATTTGTGTTTTACATTCCCGGTACGTCAATGTTATTGACAACGTCGCAGGAAAATATTAAGGCAATTACCAAGAATTCGCACCATTATGATGATTGAATCGAACGACATTGTATGAAAGGTAAATGGAGAAAAATTTACTGTTTCTAATGAATTTTTAAGAAAACAACAGTGTATATTTTGATAATAATGAAATGATAAATTTTTGATAATGGCTAATATCAAAAACATACTAATATTCTCTATAGATGATATGACCTCTCACCTTTCAGAGATTTTTTGTCCTCTCTCGTAAATATATCTCAAGAATAAACATTTTTTTTAGTTCTATTATCTCTTTTGGATTACTTTTTATTACAATACTGAAAAACAGAAATTTTTCATAAAAAGTTTTATATGAGAAATTTCTGTTTTTTTAGCACCTTAACATTATTAGAATATTTTCATGAATGATATTTCCAGCTAACTTAACTTGATTAAAGATATTTCCAGCTAACAATATTTCCAGCTAACTTGAACTGTCTGTTAAATTATTTGCTTAATAACAAATTGCTTCATCTTTAATCATTGAGATGAATTTAAGACAATTGGAAAAAGTTCAACAAAAAACAACAATTTTATGGAATCATTATGAGTGCGTAAACATTTAGACTGCTCATACGACATCAACGTCAACAATATTAACGGCAAGTAATAAGCGCTTTACCACTACTGAAACAAAAAGATTATTAGGCGGTGTAAATAACGCAAACAGAACAGTTACAAGAAAATGTCTTAAGCAAGCTTACTTCCACGATAGCATTGCTATGTTGATAATGCCATCATTCAAGTATTCACCGAGGAGAAATAAGTCAGTGCCGGATATTTCATTCAACGATGTAGTGTCAAAGACAAGGGACTGTTTGAAACCGGTAATGTGGTAACATCGCTGGCAAATAATAAGCGTTTTACCACTACTGCAACAGAAAGATTATTAGGCGGTGTAAACAAAATAGCTCGAACATAGTATTTACAAAAAAAATCGAAGGCAAGCTTACTTCCACGGTAGCATTGCATTGTTGATGGTGCCATCATTCAAATATTCCGCGAGAAGGAGTAAATCAGTGCCGGAAATTTCATTCAACGATGTACTATTAAAGATAAGGGGATGTTTGCAGCCGGTAATATCATAATATCGCCGATAAATAATAAGCGTTTTAACATTGCTGCAACAGAAAGATTATTAGACAGTGTAAAAAAAAACAGAGCGAATAAAGTATTTGCAAGAAAATATCGAAGGCAAGTTTACTTCCACAGTAACATTGCTATGTTGATGGTGCCATCATTCAAATATCCCGCGAGAAGGAGTGAATCAGTGCCGAAAATTTCATTGAACGATGATGTAGTGTTAAAGATAAGGGATTGTTTGCAGCCGGTAGTGTGATAATATCGCCGGTAAATAATAAGCGTTTTACCACTACTGCAATAGAAAGATTATTAAGTGGTGTAAACAAAATAGCTTGAACAGAGTTTTTACAAAAAAATATCGAAGGCAAATTCACTTCCACGGTAGCATTGCATTGTTGATGGTGCCATTATCCAAATATCCAGCGAGAAGGAGTAAATCAGTGCCGGAAATTTCATTCAACGGTGTAGTATTAAAGATAAGAGGCTGTTTGCAGCCGGTAATGTGATAACATCGTCGGTAAATAATAAACGTTCTACCATTGCTACAACAGAAAGATTATTAGGCGATGTAAACAAAATAGCTCGAACATAGTATTTACAAGAAAATATCCAAGGCAAGCTTACTTCCATGGTAGCATTGCTATGTTGATGGCGCCATTATTCAAGTATCCCGCGAGAAGGAGTAAATCAATGCCGGAAGTTTCCCTCGATGATGTAGTGTTAAAGATAAGCGAGTGTTTGCAATTGTCAGTGTGATCCTAAGAACTTTTAAATACATTTTGGTTTTCTTGAAAATTTGTTGAAAATTCACAATTTTTAGTTTTTATGTTTGTTTCTATGTGATTACCATAACGGTACATATTCATAATAATTACCGAAGCGTTTATTCGTGAAGTTGCTAACGGTATGAGTGTGCCAAGAATATAAAAAAATAATGACGATGCGAAGAGTAAAAATTGGGTACTTGCCATTCGTTAACGGACGTTTCCGGAATTGTTACTTTAAAAAGAAAAGATTATTAATTTAAGTGCAAAAAATATTTTGATGAGTAAATTAAAGTTTGATGATCTTCGAAGTTGTAACTTCTTAAACTGACAAGAAAGAACTTGTTAATGAAATTGTTGGCATTGACCATTTCAACTTGTCAATTGCTTTCTAAAAGTAAAAATGAAAATTGAATAAAGGATGTACAACAAATGTACTGTATAGAGTGAAGATAATTCAGTATAAAAGAGAGACGAAATTAATTTCGTATGCAAATGCCTCGTAACTACAAATAAAATATTTTTTAATGACAGATTATGCTAAAGCACTCAGATTTTTGCACATTGTTGAAAGTTTTGTTAGTGAAAATAATATGCCCAAAGTAACTAAACAATCAACTGTATCGATCGAAATTTCATTTAAACTCATTGAAACCATTAGATTTCTGATGTTTTATTTATCAGAAGACTTAAATTTGAATAGCATTTCGTAATCGATAGAATATCGAATGTTTATTCGCCGGCAGACATACCGCAAAAAAATAAACCTCATTTAAATTTCCCTGTCTTCATGGGGAAGACGAAATCCCATCCGGGTATTGCGCCAAATTGCAATTTAAAGTTATAATGCTGATAGTTCGGGCGTTTTCCGCTCTTTGAGCTGATATATTTCAT